TCAGGAAACTGCTTAGAGGATAACAGCTGCCGTTCTGGATGCATACCTTGGCTACGTGGATTTTCATGAGACATGCCACTTTATAGTCACGCCCATACTAATGCCTGTAGGACTTAGGCAATGAAGTGTTTTCTTTCTTTTAATCCATCCAAGTAAAGGAGTGATGGCACAGAAGGCACTTTGGTAAGGGTTGCAGTGCTGAAAGGGTGTTTGTTATGAAATGGTTGCTTGACTTTAGTCATTGACTGAAATGAAATGATCACTCTGGAATAGGAGAGCATCAGGTACAAAAAGAGAGATAAGGCTGAGCACGGTGGCTCACGCCTGAAATCCTAACTACTTGGGAGGCTGAGATGGGCAGATCACTTGAGGTCAGGAGTTTGAGACCAGCCTGGCCAACATGGTGAAAACCTATCTCTACTAAAAATTTAAAAATTAGCCAGGCGTGGTGGCACACACCTGTTATCCCAGATACTTGGGAGGCTGAGAAGGGAGAAGCACCTGTGGAGGCAGAGATTGCAGTGAGCCACTGCACTCTAGCCTGAGTAATGGAGTGAGAGAGAAAAAAAGTAGAGATGAGGCAGGGATTTCATTTTCTATTTGGTGTTAGAAAAGAAGCAAAATACATTTCTTTAGGTGTTGATATATAGTAACACCTTGATAAGTTTTTAGGACCTGGTCATTCCCACATTATTGTGGTTGCCATCACTGTAAAAGGTTATTTCAAATAAGTTCACCTCTGAACTTTCTAAGGACATATTAGATTTCCATTTGTCAGAGCACCACTATAACACCATTAGCATTCCAGTGAAACAAAAAGAAACTCAAAACTGTAAAATTAGCATTCATGTATTTGCCATTGTGTCACAGGTTACAGTGATTCCATAAGTCAGAAGAGAGAAGAAAAAAGGTGGAGACACATGTGAAAATAAAGGATCTGACAAATAGAGGGATGAATTCATAGCATACAGAAGTACATATTGAAAGCTGTTTGGTCATTGTATGATTGGGTTCAGAGATGACAGCGCATACACAGTTAGAGTGAGATTTCCAACATGTACCAAATAGCAGCTCAGCCTTGAGAAACACGAGTCACCATTCTGCTACAGCAAATCCAAGCTTGAGACTAGTTTAAGAACCATGAGAAAGCAAGGACATACATCTTGCAGCACTGTCTAAGGATCAGATGTGGTTCTTTATCGAGCAAGAGACCAGAGTGTGATCAAAATTTGGTAAATACACACTGCCAGGAGTGACAAGTAGTGGGATTGTCTGCATGTCGTTTGGGATTTTCATCACCATAAGGGTCCCATGAATTTCACTAAGTAGTGTTCTGGAGTCTTTGGAGTCGGTCCTTCTGGAATGGAGATTCTGTTTTCAAAAGCCTTCTTTTTGAAACTTACAATTCCATGACAGTGTATAGAAATAATTCCTAAAGAATGCATCCAAGTCAGCTGCTGTCCTGCCTGTCTCCTGTCTGCTATTTACTACTTCATGTCGGCACACAAATACAGCTTCCTTTTGTGATCTGGAGGTTTGTTTTTGTAAAAAGCCCCTGTTACAGTCATACTTCCTGTAATGATTTGATTTAATACGACATCCTTAATCCTGAGATTTGATTGCAAATGAAAGAATATAGCTAAAACTACAGTGAATGAAAAAAAATCTTTTCTTTGAACTTCCTTCCAATCACCTTCTTGGAAGCTCTTTACTTTTCTATAATATTAAGTAAATTTGCATAAAGTAACAGTAAGCTGAGAGGTCATGCATTTCCTGACTCAGAGTCAACAACTTCTGATTTTTTTTTTTTTTTTTTTTTTTTTTTTTTAGATGGAGTCTCACTCTGTGGCCCAGGCTGGAGTAAGGTGACATGATTTTGACTCACTGTTACCTCCACCTCTCTGGTTCAAGCAATTCCTTGCCTTAGCCTCCTGAGCAGCTGGGATTTCAGGCGCCCACCACCACGCCAAGCTAATTTTTGTATTTTTTTTTTTTAGTAGAGACGAAGTTTCACCATCTTGGCCAGGCTGGTCTTGAACTCCTGACCTTGTGATCCACCCACCTCGGGCCCCCAAAGTGTTGGGATTACAGGCGTTAGCCACCACGCCTGGTCTGATTTTTTTTTTTTAAGGAAATAGATACACTATAAACAATTATAGCAATTCCCTTGGAGTCTTTATTTGAGTAGATCTAACTTTTATTTACTTAAATATTTTTGAGGGTGAAATTAGGAATTTTAAGTATGTGGGAAGGCATGGACTAGATAAGATTTGGCCTTGAATAAAGATAAAATTATAGCTAAGAACTACATCGTGTGGCAAGGGTTGCTAACTAAACAAAACTTGGTGATGGACTTTTAGGAGGACTCTTTTGTAACACCATAAGCCTAATTCTTCAGCTGGAGCTTGAGAATCTGGGCTCCTGTGCACCCACGTGGAGGGTGACTTTGAACCCATCTTTCTAGGGTGATGCCCCAGGGAAGACCATTCCTCGCTATGGAGGGTCAGACCATGCTCGCTGCTCCGCACTGCACACAGAAGTGTTGAAGACTGGGTTCCCTGTGTTCTGCTGAAATTCTCTCTTGCGAATTGGGCAAGCCAGGGAAATATGCTTCTGGAATACTTCCTGCCTCTGCTACTAGTTCTGTATATATCATAAACTCCAAATAAAGAAGCATGTATTTGTTTCTCTTCTAAAAATGGGCATAGTTTGGGATTATGTGAACACTCTCTGTAGGTTTGTCAGATTTGACAAATAACTATTCAGGACTTCCAGTCAAATTTGAAGATTTTTCTAATTTCTTAGGCAATTTTATAATATATTGGGAAAAAAAAAGGTTGCATATAAGGTATTTAGGGTATCCTAACAAAGTCCACATAAAACAAAAATTGTTCCATAGAGGACATATTCTGCACATACAGGGTGCCTGGGAGCCCTAGCTCTCTGGCGTTCTGTTCAGGTTACATAGCCTTTCCCTACATAGATGACATTCTTGGCTTTTATATTCATGGATCACCTGTGTCCTTGGACTTCTGCCATCCATCCATTTTTGTAATTTTTATAAGCTACATTTTTTCTTTCTTTCTTTCTTTTTTTTTTTTTTTTGAGACAGAATCTCACTCTGTCATCAGGCTAGAGTGCAGTGGCGCGATATCCGCTCACTGCAACCTCCCCCTCTCGGGTTCAAGCAATTCTCCTGCCTCAGCCTCCTGAATAGCCAGGACTACAGGCGTGTACCACCACGTTTGGCTAAGTTTTGCATTTTTAGTAGAGATGGGGTTTCACCATGTTAGCCAGGATGGTCTCCATCTCTTGACCTTGTGATCCTCCCATCTCGGCCTCTCAAAGTGCTGGGATTACAGGCATGAGCCACTGCACCTGGTCTTTTATTAGCTATTAACTATCAACTCCAATCAACCACCTTCTCTTGGTCTTCCGTGTTTTTGCATTGCCAACGTACCAACTGAAAAGTAAAAATTCCTGTTCTCCATATGTGGATATCTGAATGTCCACAAATTCCTAATTTGAATTGATTATTTTTTAACCCACCAATTTATTTGACTTAATAGAATGAACAGCAAATATGAAGAAACCATCAACCAAACACTTGTGATGTTGAAAAGAAATTGGGTGCCAGATGACGAGGCCCAGAGGGTTAAGGTGAAGTGAAGTGGCCGAAGCTCTAGTTTTGCCTCATGTTTTTTTAAAGTATTTAGTGGAAAAACTTTGAGAAAACATCCATTAGTTTTTCTTAGAAGTCTAGGGGAATTGCTCCTCCTGGGAAGCAAAAACAAGGCCTGACGTAGTGACTCCTGTAATCCCAGCACTTTGGGAGACTGAGGCAGGCAGATCACGAGGTCAAGAGCTCGAGACCAGCCTGGTTAACGTGGTGAAACCCCGTCTCTACTAAAAATACAAAAATTAGCCAGGCATGGTGGTGGGCACCTATAATCCCAGCTACTCTGGAGGCTGAGGCATGAGATTTACGTGAACCCAGGAGGTGGAGGTCGCAACAAACTGAGATTGCACCATGACACTCCAGCCTGGGCAACAAGAGTGAAACTCTGTCTCAAAAAACAAACAAAACAAAACAAAACAAAACAAAACAAAACAAAAAACAGAGTTTACTGACACTGACAAATGCTAGTAGTTTAATAAGGCAAGTAACTCCTTATCCTTTAAAATCCCAATTAATTTCTAATCTCACAATTTTATTGCAAATTTTAACTCTGGAGACTCTACTACTACTCAGAAGTCACATTAGTTTTGAGAGCAGAAAACCACTCATTGCTGTCCACAGGTCCCGGGATTGACTGGGACATCACTTTGATTAAAGATAATGTGAAGTTCACAAAGGGTAAAGTGTCTGCAATTAATCATTTAGAAGTGAATGTTGAGCTTTAAACCTTCAAGTGTAGTCTTCCCCAGGGGAAGAAAATTAAGAGCATCTTTTACATACCCAGAGTCTAACAACCAGAGACTGGATTTCTAGTGCACACCACAGAACTTGGAAATCAAGACAGGAAATGCTAATACCTTTCAGTTAAAAAAAAAAAAAATCACATCATGGCATCATGGAAAGCTATGATAAAACTAGTTATTTCAAATATGTAATTGGCAAAGGAAAGTCTAGCAAGAAAAAAAAAAGCCAAAATTGAGAGTCTGAGAGTCCTCACTGTGCCATGTGGTCAAATGTCTGACCTTTTGCATGCACATAATGACAGCGTACAGAACCAAACTTTGTTAAAGGCCTAGAGCTTTCAATTTTCTCTTGCTTTCTCTTCTTCTCCCTCCAGGTAAGGCATATATATTGAAGACTCAAACAAAAGAGAGAATAAATAATACCACAGTAGAAACGCCACCGGTTTTTTCTTTTTTTTTTTTTTCATACTGGAGCAGAAATGCCACCTTAAAAATGTATCTTCATTTACTTTTCGATAAAATTGAAATCACAGTCCATTAAAATTGGGAAATTTAATTCAAATAAAAATCCAACAAAATAGTTGTTTTGATTTATCTAAATATCTGTTTCATTAATTCATGGCATTTTCCCACCTTAAACCAGCTCTTTAGCTTTCTGGACACTCTGCTTTGTGTCGTAATTTCCCCAGGATGAAAAAGGGAGCCAATGCGTGACTCCCAACCCCATCCCAAAGGAGTAGAGTTGGGCGACTCAGTGCTTTGCTGCCCAGAGTCACTGTCTGCCAGGCACCATGTGAGCGCCATCTGTTTTATTACTAAGACATGGCTTGTGGGGCACACTGATTTACTGCTGTTGACTCTGTGGTTTCTCAAATGGAACACAACGTTTTTTAATGGTCTCATTGAGAAAACATAACACATTAGAAATGTTTCAAAATTCAAAAGCCTTTTTGGGTCAGGAATACTCCACTACTTTGGCTCCTCCTTAGTTGGGTGTTGAGGGTGAATCGGTTTCAAGCAGAAGACTGACCAGACATAATAAATTAAGTTTGCTACCTAAATCCTTTGTTAACATGGTAACATGAAAGTATTATGCACGAAGTAATGATAGTTAAGGCACCAGGGAAATGGTAAGCTTCAAACCAGATACAGCTTCAGAGCTATTTATTGAATATTAAAATATGATTTATTGACTTATACACATATTGATTTTTAAGACACTCTTAAAAACCAGGTATTCTAAAGCCACTCTTAGGACCAGATATTTAGATAAATTGAAACAACTATTTTGTTTGATTTTTATTTGAATTACATTTCTAATTTTAACAGACTGTGATTTCAATATTATCTAAATGTATTTTTAAGGTGGTATTTCTACTCCAATATTTGTTTTGTGTGTGTAGCACAAAAGGTCAGATAGTCAAGTCTTCCAAATTTGGCTGAAATTGACATGCTGAATGAAATACAAAAATTTTTCTGACTCTTAGGCTATGTCCTTGTACAATATACACTGTAAGTGAGCAAGATTTTTAATCTGAATCACAAAGTTAGCATCGATATAAATACTCTGAAAAAAATTTAATAGTGCAACACAAAAGGTCTAAACATGCCCATGGCATTATTTTTTTGTTGATTATACCACAATATACAGTAAAAAATAGCAAGTGTAATAACTAAAAGAGATAAGTAGATATCTAACTACACTGACATGTAATATTTTTTAAGGAATGGAGATCTAAAGCAACCATCAACATATAGCCAGATTTGCTGTAATCTATACCATCATTTCACTGATAACCTGAATCCAATTTTATTTTCCCCTTTTGCTTTGAGTCCCAATGCTCATATTTTTATAGAACCAAATAGACATGAACGTGTCTGTCAAGGACTTGTCTTAATCGCAAATGTCTTTCACTGATGGCGCCCCTGCTTATGCTTGAAGAGCCAGGGTATGTGTATCTGTGTGCTTGCATGTGAGTATTTGTGTGCAGTGGGGGGAATCGTGTACATCTTTGTATGTATGCATGGGCTGAACATTCATGGTCACATTCTGCTTGAGTGAATGTGCAAATCTGTCTCTGTTTGAATGAAATGAGAATTCACTTTTCGGACACTTAACCAGTCATAGCCCATTTATTATTACTATTATTATTGCCTCAAAGGAGTGCAGAGCACCAGACCCCTGAATTTTGGCAGGGGCAAAATGTTACCTCTCTGTATAAGCTTTATTTAAATATCAAGGGTATTCTTTACAGGTTTGAGATTTTCAAATCTTGTTCATGCATCAGGGAGTCATCTTGTTTATGAATTCCTTACTTTCAGCTCCTCTTCTTCCTTATGGCCCCACCAGACCTTACAAACTTCAGCCTCTGAGAACATTTCCTGTATTGTCAGGCAGCTGAATTTTTCTTTTGTGCTAACTGTAATCAACAGGCATAACTGAGACAACAATTACTCTCAAGAGCTTTATTTTGCTCTTGGAATGTCAGGGGATAATTACATGCAGTTCCTTTATGGGCAAGGCATTTTAATAGATAAGAAATGAAATGGCTGAAAGAAATATTGGCCAATAATAATGAACTGAAGAGAGGCCAGGTCTGGATGGCATGGGGATAGGTGACCCACAGAGTCAGTTTTCCACATGGCTTCAGAAAGTTGCTTTGGAAACATTGTCCAGAGCAGACCTTCCAAACTTTCATTTGTACACTATTCACTTGGCGGTCTTGTCAAGATACAGACCCCAATCCTGTAAGTCTGGCTGGGGCCTGAGAATCTATGCGTTACTAATAAGCTCTCGGATGGTGCTGATGTGGCGGGTCTGTGAACCACATTTTGAATCGAAACGTTTTGAATGGAAAGAGGATAGTACAGTCCAAAAAAAAAAAAAAAAAGAGGAAACAATGGCATCAGCCCCATTTGCATAGGTTTCCACAGTTGTGAATTACAGATCTGATCAATTTCCTTTCATAGAATTCAGTCCACTGAAGAAAGGTAAAAATGAAATTACTACATTTTGTGAACAGAGTCTCTCTACCTCTTTTCAGGTATTATCACACAATCATTATATATAATATTTTTCCTGCTTGAACAAAAACAGCATGTTTTAAAGCAGTGAGATCAATGAAAGCAATGAGATCAATGAACTCTTGGCCATAAGGTCATTGATACTTGGTTAAATAAATATCTTATATTACAGCTAATAATCTTGTATAGAAATACATATACTTTTAATGTTAGCATTGCTAAGTGTCTGTTTATCTAACAGGACATTATTCCAATTGCCCTACACCAAGCTCTTAGAAATGTAGCCCCATTTTACACAATCTGAATTGTAAGAGTTCACTTTCAGATAAAGCAGTTAAAAGGAACTCTCTCAAACATAGAAATGCTGGTTTAGCCACACGATCACAGGAAAAGATTGATTTTGTATGTTCGTGCATGTTTTTAGAGTGCGTCTACACATTTTTGTCTTCCCAGCAGTCTTTGTGTTTGAAGGGAGTTCTGATGCGGAAACAGCGCGCGGGGTTAAACCTGCATGGTGCCCCGTGATCAGACATTGCTCTGTTGTAATAAAAGCGTCCTCAGTTCTCTTTCCCTCTGATCCTCCTGCCTGTACTTCTCCTCGAGTTTCTGTTTCTCAGAATCTGCGCAGTAAAAGGTGCAATCTGGGCTCTTCCGAATCTGTTCAAACTGACTGAAATCAGCCACGTATTTTCCATTTTTGGAAAGAGATACCACAGGGACAAACTCAAAACCCCAGTAGATTTCCTCCGGGATGTAAGATGTCCGGCTTTGGCAGACAGCACTGGTGGATTCCACAGTGGCATTAAGGAGGACCACAAGCTCAAACTCCTTCTCCTTTAGGTTTTGGGGTGTGAGGTCTCTCAGGGGGCTCGTCTCATCCAGCACGTGGTAGAATGTCATGGGCAGAATGAGGAAGGGGCTCTCAGAGGAGGAGTCCACGTGGAATTTGACAGTGGCTTGGTTGAGGAGAATCCGCTCCCCCTCCTTGGTGACGTGGGTCTGCAGCAGCTTGCCAGAGAGCTGGCACTGAATCAAGAGGCTCTTCCTCATGTTGGCTACCTGAATCACCAAGCACAACTTCCCATTCTGCTTGGTGATGACTGCACAGTGGCTGAACTTGATGGTCTCAGCCCGCTTTTTGGGTCTGGCGATTTTGGCCAAGAAGGTTCCGGTGATGAAGATTTCAATCAAGGTCGTGATGACCAACTGAGCAACCAACAGGAAGATGGCATGAGGACATTCCTCCGTGATGGAACGGACTCCATAGCCAATGGTTGTCTGGGATTCCAGGGAAAAGAGAAACGCCCCAGTGAGAGAGTCCACTTTCATGATGCAGGGGGTATGATTTGAAATAGGCTCACCGGGTTCTAAGTCCCCGTGAATAAATGCGATGGCATAGTAGATAACTCCAAATAGGAACCAGGTCATCACAAAAGTGGCGGCGAACAGGGTGAGCTTGTATCTCCACTTCATGTCAATAACCGTTGTCCACAGGTCTTGCAGGTAGAGTAGGTATATGCCATCCACTTTGTCAATTCTCACGTTGCTGTGCCCACTCTTGGACATGACCCGGGGTCTGTTGGCCTTGAGCCCAGCCCCAGCAGTGTGCTTCACCAGAGGAGTGCTGGACATGCCCATGTGAATGGAATCCATTGCCGGGATCTGGGAACACTTAGAGAAATGACAAAGACATTTCATTACGGTCGTACATGGTGGAACTTCCAGAAAATAGAATCTTTATGTGAAGTAAGTACGAATGTATACGGAAGTACGCAAGAAAGGATAATTCTGAAGGCAAGATTAACTGATCTGTGCTTAGGTGGTCAGTAGGGTAGAGTGAGGAGCAGAGGCTTCGCAAAAGAGCAGACCTGGGCTAAATGCTGACTCTGCAATTCATCAGCTGTGTGACCTGGAGAAAGCTATTTAACATCTCTGGACCTCCACTCTCCAATGTTTAAAATGGTAATACAGCCTATTCCTCAGGGGTTTTGTTACTATTGAATAAGTTAAACTGTTAAAACAGAGCCTCATATTCCAAAACAGAAGTTATGCTATTTTTTATGATAAACTCGTATGCATATATCTCATAGAGCAATGTGTTTACTGTTAGTCAGCTACCATGTATTCCCAATTATAGAACACTTAAAATTATTTGACAGAGTATAAATCTAGTACCATGCTTGAAATACTTCTTGTTTTGGAGGATATTAGTATAAACCTTTAAAACTCAGTTGGTAGTAATGCATTTTTTAGAACCTACCTTTTGCATGATATTCTTAGTAACAGCAATTCGTTTTTCCCCCAATCTAATGAATAATTAAGAATCTACAACCTCTTCTAATTTTGTTATGACTTTGGAAAAAACTTAGTTAGCAAACAACCCAAAACATTATTATAGCAAATTTAGGTTTTATTAATGGCTTGATCAATATGCTGGTTATTCTTGGAAAAGTGCTACCAATGTCACTTTAGACATGATATTTAGGTATGGCACCAAAATTCTTCCTTACTCCTTAGAACTAAGTAGAACCAGCAGGAGAAATCCATTTTAAAGAGCAAATGAAGAAGTCAGTAAGTATAGGCATCTAACATTGCAGCAGAAAAGACCTACCTATAAAAAGTGCTGGGCTTCCACGCTCAGCCCCAGGGAACGCTCTGCTCCAAGTTAACAGCCGGGAACAAGCTGACTATGAGGCCCACAGCATCTTATAGTACCTGCCTGGTGACTGACATAAATTTCCCCACATTCCTTGAGAAAGATAATGTGGGTGATTACAGAGTACCTGTGTGGCATGTTTTTCTTCACTTCATTGGTATTTTAAGAATTAAAAATAAAAACTCCCCATTTATAAAGGAACTGATATATAGTGGTTTATGATTCATGCAATGCTCTTTCTGCTAGAGCAGTATTACCTCAATAGAAATTTTGGAGGTAATCCTCTGGGCAAATCCCTTCAAGGAAATGGAAATGGTATCCATTAGCAGCAAACACCTGTTCAGGATGTAAGGGGTCTGCTGGGCATTTTAATTTTCCTGCTACATTATTAAGAGTGTGTTATTTACTAAATGCTCCCTTGAAATTGTTTTTTTCTTAGAAAGTCGTTTTTGTTGCAAAGAAGGGCCATAAATTATTCAGAATTTCTTTACCTTGAAGCAAATTTCACTGTTCTTGGGATCAAGTTAAGTACGGGAAGAAAAGTAGGGGATCTGGTTGATGAACTAGGGCCTTACTATACCCTTAGCAACACTTTTCAGTATAACGAAGAGGAAAGTGACCACAGTAAAGGTTTGGAAATGAAACGCCATTCTGGCAAGCCCAAATGCACAGACCAGCTTGTAACATGAGCACCAGCAGAGACAAATGCAGCCTGTCTGCAAGTGACTGCATGCACCTTTTTTCTTTTTTTTTCAAACTGCTGAGGAAACTGCATGCCATTCAATCCACTGAAATAGAAACAGAAGCTTAAGTTTTCCAGTGTGAGTGATACACAAGTGTCGTGCGGGCACTCAGCCCTCCACCAGATTCTGGAAAGCTTGGCCCTGTTTTTATAAAGGCAGCAACATGAAGTTTCTGTTTTAAACTTTCTTTCAAAGGGGCAGCCAGCCGGGCTTGGGATGAACTGGATCTGTTTCCTCTTTCTGCTGAGAGTGTGTTTGCTGCAATCCTGTGTATCTAGTGCTGGAGTTAATGGCATCGATTGTCCCTCCTATCAAGGCTTGGTGGATAGAAATCACAGGACAAGACCTAGAGCCTCTGGGTGTGTTGGGTGCAGCGTCTCTCTGTGGGAAAGAGAGCAGCTGGCAGTCAGCAGTCAAAAGCTGCCATGGCCCTCTCTGTCCTCCTCCCTCCCTCAAATGTGCGATGCCCTCAGAACTGTCTACTACCTGGTCACTCACTCCGCAGGTCAGGTGTCTTCTTCAAGGCAGGTAGAACGTCCTCGGTCCCCTTCACCCACCTGGCTACCATGGGATTCTGCTACTGCCTGAAAGAAAGAGGGACACATGGGTTCATAGGTGGTTACCAAGTGCACCCCAGTAAAACCGGCCCCGGATGATTTTCTAAGAGTTACACCATGGCATTTACCTTCCAATCCCTGGTAATCTGGCACAGTGCACAGAATAGGGTAAAGGTTCAAGGAATGACGTAAGAAGGAAGCTGAACCCCAGCCACAGCCCTTACCACAGAGTTCCCAGCCCCTGCAGGGAGCTTTGTAGCAAAACACCCTGGAAAGAGAGGGTTAACCCACCCTCATTGAGCCCCGCTATGAACTGACCGGCACAAGGGGAGGCAGGAAGGGGAAGTGCAGAGGAAGTGAACAGTGAGTGCTGGAAGGGAAGAGTCTAGGATATTTTTACCGCCTGTGGAAATGTATTGCTACTGTTGAGTCATAGGACATTAGAGTGGAAAAGACTGTCAGAACCATCCCACTTGACACAGCTGGGTCCTGGCAGAAAGATCCAGGTCCAAAGTCTTCGGAAGTTAGCCCAGGGTTCCTGTCAGTCCACAACAAAATCCCCTTAAACATCCACGGTTTCATGCGATCTCCTCTAAATTCAAGAGGTTCGTTTGTATCTTCTTTTCTAAAATGATTCTGCCTAAGTTATCTGCCTGTCTATTCTGTATCTTCTATTGATCTATTATCTATCAATTATCTACCTACCAACTCTGCCATCTATTATCTATCACCTATCAATCTATTATCTCTGAATTATCTATTTATTATCTGTCTAAAGATCTACCTACCTATTATCTATCATCTATCAATTATTGCTCTATTACCTATCAATTATCTATCATCTGTATCTGTCAATCATCCTTCTGTCTACACCCATATATTTTTTTGTCTCACACACACACATAGGCACACTCAGACTTCCTGTGTTTCTTCTGATCACCAATGATTTGCAGTTATCACTCTTTTATAGTTAAAATATTCCCAGTTAATCTGTACAGCCTCTTGCAGGTTGGATCCTGCTATTGTGGTCACAGCATGTTTGGCAAACGACCTCTTTGTCATTGCTCTGTTAAGACCCAGAATCTTCATTGTGCCCATCAATCTTACCCACAGGCTTTATGAATCACGCTTTACCACAGGCTCTTAATTTATAGAATTTTATTCCTCAGCAGACTTCTTTCATGAAGTTTAAATCCTTGTTGATACATACTCTTATTTCATATAATTTTATGTTACTGCCTTAGATTATTTTCCCTTAGTCTTCAATAGACCTGGCTTAATTCTAACATGGTAAGCAACAATAACAGTTTCCCAAAAGATAAGAACACAAAGAATAACAGAGGAATATTTTCTTCTAATTTCCCCCATCTTAACCTTTTTCTCATTAAAAAAAAAAAAAAAGTGCAGCTTGCCACCTGTGCTCACTTAATTTACATAAACACATTCTTTGAGGCTGAAGTAAATATGATTGATTTTCAATGTGAAAATAAAACATAAAAATCGTTCTTGGAGTTATTTCTAAACGGAACTAACATCAGAATCATCTGAACCATCAGAATTGTCTATTTAGGAAAAATCAGATTCATCAAATGAATCTCTGGCCAACAACTGTTGAAGACTGACATTAACGTCATGTATAGGAATGCTGTGTTTTCTAGGATTTGACATTTTCAGCAATCAAGAATTACTATATTTTGTAAATAAAAATACAACTACTAAAAACAGAATGCTACAAATATGATGATGTCTTTTGTTTCCAAAGCTGATATACTAGAGTGAGATGAAAATAATAATAAAAATAATATATTGTGTGGCAAAGTCATCTCCGGGTAAATGCTGCAGCCTCAAGTGCGGCCAGTGAGTATTCTTAGGGCAAATGGGAAAAGAGTTAATCCTCGCAGCTAAGCAATATTCCATATAAACCATCAGCAGTTTTCTTTAGTTTCTGGAAATAATGTTTATTTCTGCAGTTTTTGTTACATCGTTTCAGTTTCTGGGTTGGGATTGTAATTCTTAGAATGGTGATATCTACCCAAGTGAAGTTCTTAAAACTGTGGAATGAATAGGTCAGTATTACTCTTTTCTACTTCAAACCAGTAAAAGATTCATGGTCTGAGGTCACTGAGTGCTTATGCTATGAACATTTGTTTTCCGGAGTTAAAGGAAAGAAAATAAACACACTGAAACAGAATGAAACAAAAAGCACATTGGAAAAGGTACTTCGCCGTATGGATAACTACACTTCCGGTGTTGGGGACACAGCAGGGAGAATGGGAAGTGGAAAGGTACTACCCATTGCCATCTTGAGGGAAGAAAAACATTTCATCAAAGATAGAAGCTCTTATAAGGACGAACAATCCCAAAACCCACCACAGCAAGCTGGAACACACTGTTTATCAGAGGAATCACCTGGAAATGGCCAGAAAGCTACTGATCTGTGGGAAAAAAAGATATAAGCAATTAATAGGCAAGAATGGAGCCAGGGCAACACAAGGTGGGAAAGATGCAGATGAAGAGTAACTCTAGCAAGAATAAGAAAATGTAATAAAGATTCAGAGAAGTAATGATAGCAATAGAAGTTCAGATCGGTGATGAGAACCATCATCATCATACACAGATAACACTCAAATAGCCTCATGCCTGCCACTGCTCTAAGTGCTTTCCACATGGAAACTTATTTAACCCTCACACCAACCCTGAGAGATAGGCACCATCATTAGCCCCACGATGAAGAAACTGAGGCACAGAGAGGGTAAGCGACTCGCCCAAGTTTGCAACAGCAGACGCAGGGCAGTGGTGCATTCCACAGCAAGGCTCTTGTGCCCATGCCTACAACCCCCGCTACAGAGGGGATCAAGTTTAGCCACATCGGAATCACCTGGAAGGCTTGGGGTTGCTGATTCAGAAGGTCTGGGTTGAACCCTAAGAATCTGCATGTCTAGCAAGTCCTCAGGTGATGCTGTCTCTGGTGCTCCAGGAACACACTCTGGGACCACACCTGCTATACATTTTCCCCTTGACAAAGAGCCTTATGGCTCAACTTTCCCTTAGCATCCTAAAATAACATCATTTCACAGAGGTATAGAACAGTTGTGTATCCACTCCAGGAATGTACAACCTCTTTCATCCTCATAGACGAATGCCAACTACCCAGGGTCTCAAGGTCATGGATGTTTTAAAGCAGGAATATATGGAGAATCTGATCAAAACTGTAATGCATTACTAACATGTATTATTATAAACGTTACATAAATAGTATATGTCACAGAATATACAAACGTATATTATGATATTTCTATACAATATAAATAATTCTAGTGAAAACATTAGCTAAAATTAAGTTCAGATAAATCTTTAATGCCCATGATAGATTTTCAGCTCTCATTTATGATAGTCAGCCCGTGTGTACATGCTACCACTTTTCTCTTAGTCTCAAAACTGAGCTCCTCCAGACTGAAGAAAGGGGAACCCTCCTACGCTGCCGGTGGGAATGTGAATGAGTGCGGCCGTTATGGAGAACGATATGGAGGCTTCTCAGCAAACTAAAATTAGGATTTCCATAGGCTCCAGCAATTCCACTACTAGGTATAGATCGAAAGGAAATGAAATCAGTATCTTGAAGACATACCTGCCCCACCCATGTTCATTGTAGCATTATTCACAACAGCCAAGATATGGAATCCCAAGTGTCTAACAGTCGATGAATGGATAAAGAATATGTGGTATATACACAATGGAATATTATTTACCCATAAGAAAGAATGAGATCCTGCCGTTTGCAATACGGATGGAATAGGAGGCCATTATGTGAAGTGAGATCAGCCAGGTGCAGAAAGACCCAGATTGCATGTCTTCACGCATATGTGGGAGCTGCAAAAGTGGATTTCGGGAAAATAGAGAGGAGTTTAGTCGTTACCAGAGATTTTGAAGGGGGATGAGAGGGAAAAAAAGAATAGAAATGTGTTTATTACCACTGAACTATACACTCGAAATGCTAAAGATGGTAAATTACATATGTATATTTTACTTCAATGAAAAGATTTTTTTCAAGAGAATGCAAAAAAAAAAAAAAAAAGGATGGGTGGGAAGATGACCCAGCTGTCACATGGATGCTTTGTTAGGGAAAATAAATTCAGTTTAAGAAAGATTTTTTTTTTTTTATTCCTAGTAAGTACAACATTGATGTCTTTAAAAGTTAGAGTCTGTTAAGCCAGATTTTGGAAGTTTTCAATTTGCCCTTCTCAAGAAAACTTTATTCTGCAATTCACAGTGAACTAACAAGGCAAGGGTTCCACAGAAAAACATTCCTCACAGTACAATGGGGAGACAGCGGCTCCCCAAAACTGGGGTTCCTCAACCAGGTCTTCAGTGACCTCATCCCATGTCCTTTAACCAGGGTGATGAGGCATAAAGATTGAAATCTACATCAAATCCTAACTCCGGATTTCCAGACTAAAATTAACATGCGGTGGATCTCACTTTTAAGATCTGACAAAACGTAGCTTCCTGTTTGTAAGAAAAGCTGCTTAAAAAGCTTTTTCGCATGTCAAATATTTCTGACAAATTAGCTTTTCGATGATCTCTTTGTCCAGAAATCCAAAATGCCTGGATTAAATTTGACTCTAAATATCACAGTTTTAAATATTAGGTAGAAAAAAAGACGCTTGACACGAATCTGCTTGGGGTTCACTGAGCTCAGGAGGTTTAAAAGAATTGAGCATAAAACCAGCGGGGTTAACTCTCCTCCTTGCGCTCCTGCCACTGTGGTCTCAGGAGCGCGCACACCTCAACCTTTGGCCTTGGCCTTGGGTCCTGTTCCTACACTACAGAGCAGTGTAGGATCCACTTCAAAGGCTGATCTGACTGTTCCAAGCCCAGCTTTTGACTCATCTATGCTAGCCAAGGACACAGACAGCTTTGCCAGTGGTCTCAGAAACAGACACGTTCATTGAAAAAGAGCAAGGTGGACAAAGTGGATTCTCAGCAGATTCCAGAGGGTAATCCTTCGGTTTGTATCTCCTAGGGAAATTCTACTTTCCTTCTGCAAAAGCACTTTTTCCTTAGACTACTGAGGACTGAGGATGGTCCAGAAAGAATGACAGTTGCTTGGAGGCTGCGGAACCACTCATTCTCCTCCAGGAGAATTATGAGGATTTCAGGGGAAGCGCAAGTTGAAATCACAGCACACTTGCAAGCTAGTTTCCTCTCTCTCAAAGACCTGTGTTTGGATGATGTGTTTGAACTTGGAACCTATGGATAGAGCTGTGACAATTTGGGAGGTTGTGGTTGATGTATGTTGCTCCCAATTATTTGCTGTGCCTCTCGGTTGGGTCCATCCACAAAGGATCCTTCCCTGGGCCTGTCCCTGCAGGGGGATAGGGGGATGTGGGGTGTGTTTCCTACTCCCCTGCTTCAGATGTGGCCCTGCCACCTGCTTTGGCCAATAGCGTGTGAGCAGCAGTGCCCCTCACCGTGCCTGAAGAGAGGCGTCAGGCTCATCACACAGCTTGCCTTGCATGTGGGTGGGTCACGGATTGAGCTGTTCCTTCCTTTTGGTAAGTGGGAAGAAGGAAACTTGGAACTGAGCCATAACTGAACTACGGCTGACTTGATACACAGGTGAGAACAAATTCTTGTTGCTGTAAGCCACACAGTTCTTAGAGTTGTTAACAAAGCAAAACCCAGGGAAACCTGACCACAGAGACACTTTCACTATTAATATATATTTTTGTATTTTAGGATTATATGCCTGACCTAAAAAGTGAAAGATGTAAAGTTCTGAAATATTACTATTATTATTATTATTATTTGAGATGGAAACTTGCTCTGTCACCCAGGCTGGAGTGTAGTGGCACAATCCCTGCTCACTGCAACCTCTGCCTCCTGGGTTCAAGCGATTTTCTTGCCTCAGCCTCCCAAGTAGCTGGGATTACAGGTACCTGCCATTATGCCTGGGTAATTTTTGTATTTGTAGTAGAGGCAGGGTTTCACCATGTTGGCCAGGTTGGTCTCGAACTCCTGACCTCAGGTGATCCACCTGCCTTGGCCTCCCAAAGTGCTGGGATTACAGGCAAGAGCCACTGTACCTGGCCAGGTTTTGAAATATTCTTCACGTAAACTCTGAATGTTGGTCTATGACTAAATACCAAATACAAAAAGCACCCAAATTTAACAAGATTTTAATAGAAAGAATGACTTGCCTGATCCCTAAGAACAACAGAAAAAGGGTGACTAATTATCTTTTGATTACTTCTGAGTCAATATTTACATTTATCATGACAAGGTAACTTTTTTAGGGAAAGTTGTAAGCCCATTATATCCATCATTCTGATATTTTGTGGAGCAAGAAGCCCTGATTTAAGGACCCAGTGGCCTCAGGGTCTGTAATCACACAGACACATTGAGCTGTCCAGGGACCACTGCCATTAGGTCATTGATAGCTTTTATTTGGGAAGGGCCAATTTAAAAGGGTCCAGGCACTGTTCAAAGCAGTTACAGATATTATCTTATTGAATCCCTCTCTTTACCTTGGGAAGAAATTATTTTCTCTACTTTCTAGGTGAGAAAACTAAGCTTAGAGAAATTAAATAATTTACACATGTTTACAAAGTTAATAAATGGAGCACCTGGTGACCAAACCAGCTCTGTCTGCTCCTATCTAACCACCATCATCAGCATTAGCTTGCAAAGGAGTCTCGTGGTGCAGCGTGACAAAGCGTAAGTTCCTGCTCACTGCCGTCAGCATCCATTATAGATTAAGCAGCTGTAATTAATTGACTCATTGCTTACCCTGTGCCAGGCCTGATATTAGGTATTATGAATTAATTTAATTCTCTCATAGATTATGAAGTAGGTACTACTGCGATTCCCATATTCCAGACAAAGAAACTGTGATATAGCACAAGGTATGTTGGAACCTGTAGTCCATGTGTCTGATCGCAACACTGGCTCTCTAACTTCAGTGTGCCTTAGAATCGCCTGGCTGGGTTGATAAAAATGCAAATGGCTGGGTCCCACCACAGGATTTCCAATTCAGTAGGTTTGGGGTGGAGCCAGAGGGTCTGCAGTTCTGAGAATTTCCCAGATATCCCTGATGCTGTTAGACCTTAGACTACACTTGGAAAACCACGATCTACACTCTTCACCACTTAAAAGTTACCTAGAATAGGGAGAAAATGAACAAGCCAAGGAATTAGATTGTCTAAAATTCAGTCTCATTACTTTCAAACAGAGGAACAGGCCTATGGTATTAGAAGGAGGAGACAGTCAATGGGATTAAATATGTAAGTACTGCAGTTGCCAGGTGGAGTTTTTAGTTAGAATATCTTTCCTTGAGGATAGAAGTTCAGGTGTAATGTCTTCAGGAAAAATTGAGAGTTGCTGAAAAAAAAAGCACAAACAGTTGGTAGAAAATCGCTCTCAGATTTATTCCTTGGATAATGAGTATCATTAAGGGAAGCTTTTAGCATTGCCCTGGCTGGGAACATTCGAGGATTATGGAGAGAACCTAGATTATAAGCTGGGAAAGTTAGGGCTGCAAAACACTAGTTCTCTTGCCGAAGCGTGTGGTTCAGGTGTTCCACACAGAAAGGGATTTGTGGTCAAATAATTTTGGAAGGATTTGTTTACTGAGTTCCCGAAGACCCCACTGTATTCACTCTTTGGAGAGTCACATTGCACATTTATTATAGTTTCTGAGAAATCCTACAGTTATAAAACCTGTTTCACTGTAACTATATAGACATATGTGTGTATGTGTACGTGTGTGTGCCTTAGCCTTTATGTGACATTTGAGAACACTTTGAGGAGTGCTGATCTTGTCTAAACGCTTCACTTTATATCTGGGGAGATAAAAGTGTCAAAAAGTTTTGAGTATTTTGTTCAAGGTTACTGAGCCAGTAACAAGGTTAGAGCTAGAAACAAGCTTTTTTGACTCTTAGTCCATTTTATGGGTAAGTATCTCTCTTCATGGTCATACTATATGTTGAGATGAGTTATCCATCTCGCTGGCTCCTGATGATGGGGTGGCATAGAATAGTGTGACCCCTCTCCCCTCATCCAGCCACAGCATCCCCGTCATCAGAAATGCAGGCTCTCGTGCTCCACACCTGAGATACTGAACCAGAATTTCTGGGGGTGCAGTTCCTAAGAACCCGTCTTCCAAAGAATTCAATTTCCCCAAGCAATTTGGTAGCTGGAAGTTGCTAGTGATGCCTTGACGAATTGGAGAAGCCCCCCCTCCCCCTCCTATACATTAGAAAAGCAGCAAGTGTTCCTTTACAGACCAATCCGTATTTGCATTGCCTGTGAGTATCTAATAATGCAGTTTGCCTCTGCGGTCAGATATGCAGCCTTTTTCCTGTGTTTCCATTCCATTATTATTGTTTGGAATTCCATAAGAACTAAAAAAAATTCTTTTCCATCTCGAAATGTGGTTTGCATAGTTGTTCCCTTTACGCCTCGATGCAGATTCTTTAAAAACTCTTTTTTTAAAATCTCATAGAACATTAACATTTCTCCGTTTGACAAAGACAAGTTTAAACAGATACCGGACTCAACAGGGGACTCATTTTCCATTTTCCATGGCAAATAATCTGAGCACTGGAATAAGCCAGAGGTATCATTTGCTGAATATTTTCATAAAGACAGTTTAATTTCAGACCCTTTATTTGTGAGAGAGCTGGCTAACCCAAATAAAACATTCTACATCTGTCTGTGGTTATGAGTGACCAACCTCAGCTGAACGTTATTACTTAATAACAGCTAACTTTCCTATAGAGTGAGAGTGCCACAGCGGAGGGCAAATGGAAATTTCCTGTGGTTTACCACCCCTGGCCTCTCCCTGCTCCAACATGCGAAGAACTTGGGTA